TGTGTGAACTGGGTTTTTATATTCTGTCTTTTTTTTTTTTACACATAAACACAAGTTCTGTCAGCTTACCGCTGGTTATGAGGAATGAGTTTCAAAACGCCCAGCATGGCAACAGCCAATATAACTGGCAGCAGAACTGCAGCTACATTAGGGAGACAGCCCTTGCAATACTGCCTCTGCCTCTGCAATTAAAACCACTTCACTGTGCACTATGCTGAAGTCAACAGTTCATTATATTACAAAGTGAACTACAGCAAGGAACATCACTTAAATATATTATTAGCTCTGTTATCTGAAAAACAGGAAATTGATAGGAGCTTATGAATTCCTGACCCTACCTATTCTTTTTAAAAACAAAAAAGAAAAGCAGTCAGATTCTGTTTTGGAAGGACAATGCAGTAGCAACCCTCTTGTCATGACAACACATTGAGCAAGACAAGTGTAATTAGAGACCATAATGGACTAACTGACCTTTTAACTTGAAACCATGGAAGAGACATAAAATCATTAGCCAAAATAAAGCTGAGGAGAACTCAGTACATACAAGGAATGAATGTATCTTTTTACAGGTGGAGGTGGCATACCGCAGAACTCCATTTTTGTTGATCTAGTCCAAGAGTGCTTCAGGGTTACTTTGCTTACAGGGAAGGGCACACAGTCATTTTCAGTTTAGTTGCAAAACATTCAGCTTAATTATAATTTCTTTCCAATATGAAAAAAAAAGTTATGTTTTCTTCAACTCAGCAGAGGACCTGTAAAGCTGCCAATGCCAGCTGAGCTCCAAAATTTTATGATGTAGAATTTCTATTCAAAGTACTAAATGTACCTTCACTCAAGATGCAATGGACCAGGAGGCATTATTATTTACAACATACCTTTTTTTGTATCCCAGCTGTGATAATGAGTTGTAGACACGCTGGTCTAAACTGACTATTTGATTGTGTGTATAGAAAACCTACAATACAAAACATTTTTAAAGCAGCTGCTTGCAAAAACATCACGGCTCAGCTCGGACTAGTATGTCTTCAATTAATTTACTCAGTTGGAATACATAAAAACATGCAGCAGGTAACAGCAACCCTTGGTCTAGTTTCCCTTAAGTGAAGTTATAATGAAGCTTACTCTGTCAAGGTAAAAAGCAGTGAACAATAAGAGCATGTTGTGCTCTATAAGATATTCATATTTTTATTTAAAAGTTTAATAAAAAAATAAGGATTAAATAATAGCTTGGGACAAGGGTGGGGGGAAACAAATCTTAACTATGGCACACAATGCTTCTCATGGTCACCATGTATAACTAAAAAGCAGGAAGAACTTCACATAGCCATTCAAACATGCAGGATTAACAAATGCTTTGATGTTGCTAAAAACCTAGTCTTTAGTGCCTTTCCTCACCCCAATGTAGATGGAGAGTGCTATTCAGAGAGGTGCGATTACTGGCCATTGCACAGCCAACTGAACTCAAAAGAAGTCTTAAGCAGACTTTACAGGGCTTTTGATTAGACACTTAAGTGACTTGAAGGACTGTACTGAAGAGCATGCCGTCTTCTTGTGTATCGAGTGGTGAGAGAGCAGTCCACCCATCCTCCTTTACCATGTGCTCTCCATTCATAACTCCCATCCTACTCATTCTGACATGGTCTCCTGCAGAACCAGAGTAGGAACATTTAAGAGGAGATTTCCACTGGAGAAGACCTGAACTATAGATAACAATTTTGACTTCTTACTACTTGAATATTGCCACATTTGGTAATTTTGTGGCTGTGTTGAAAAAAATATTCTTGCGCTTCCTTCCATGGATTCCTTTACCAGAAAAAGGAGATGGGGAAGCTTAAAAGCCGCTATTGACTTCAACATATATATGGAAGTCTAATACCTTACTGCTAAACCCATGACACTTACCCTGTACAGGTTTTGCTGCTTATGCCATCTTACAAACACTGAAGCCATATTGTTTTTCCTCTTTCCCAAATGTACACTAACATATCAGCTGAACAGTAACATACTCCAGACCCCACCTGCTCAATACTCATATTATAAATTTCCCCTATGTGTTTATCCCAATATTTCCTCCCTGCAAAGCTTCACCTCTTGCTAGAATCACTGTTTAAGATACCCAAGCTCCCATTCCAGTGCCTTCCATTTGCTTTTTTTCTCCTCTTTATCTAAGTTAACTCAACCCATGGAAAGGAAAAACCTGATTTATAATCCTTGCCCAACCTCCTTCAAACCTCATGGCAACAACACTTCTTCAGAAGGAGACAGACCAAAAACTTGCAAAGCTGGGGTCCTCTGTTGCAGTCCTACTAGCTTTCTTCACTAACATCACAAATCTTGTGGGAGTGACAGAGTTATTGTAGCTACATGACAGTGATACAGCTATGCAGCAAAAGCCTCTAATGGGGCCTGTACAGCACAAGACAGCATCATGCAGTGATCCCCTCTGAGCTACCTTTGTACTTGCTACCTCTGGCAAGAAGACCAGTATACCCTGGTTACCATGGTACTTCATCTGGACTAATTAGTTTTGCTGACCAGCTGTCCTGGTTCCATAGTTGGCACATGAAGTGCAGAGCTTGAGTACCTCTGCACAGTGCTGCCTTATGTCAGCTACAATCCAGTTAGTGCCCTGGCCAGAAACATTCATAAATAGCTTGGAGCATCTCTGCATGGCACTGCGCTGTGCAGGGCAGACACGCTCCAAATGACGAGCGTGTACTAGCTGTCTCCAAGGGAGCGAGACAAACAAATGTGTTTTCTCCTCTCTCCACCTGCAGTCCCCGGGTTACAGACACAAAGAGGAATTTTCTTTTTAAACATGTAGCACAAAACTGGCTCTAATACTTAGGATGCTCCCAAACCCATACCAAATCTCAGAATAAGGATCAGGAAAATTTATGTTTAAATAAAATGCCAACAGTGAACATCCTGTAGCCTAACTGCACCCTTCAAAATATTGTTTGGTATTTTATGAAAGGACTCTATTTTCAACTGCTTTTGCAAGTCATTTACTTTTTTTCTATTTCTGCGCTTGCTTATTATAATGAACGGCTGATTATGTAACTACTACACTGCAAACTGAACTCCTCCAGTTTCAGTGCACAGATTCCTTGCCTGCGATTTTGTAGCAGTGTAAAAGCAAAGGAGTGTCAAACACATTTTCCTTGGGAGCATAGGTGATTCAAGAGGACAATTTCAGAACTGTAAAGATACAGGACCCACTTGTACAGTCTGTGTGTAACCAGTGCTACCAGCTTTACTGGAACTACTCATGTAAATAAAGACAGCAGGAAAGTATTTTTCAAACGTTCCTAATCCCCAAGAGGTTTTATAACAAAGTGATTTCCTGGAAGACCGAAGCAAAGAAGGAAGATCAGATACATCTGTGCTTAAACATCATTCTTCCAGTTCCTACAGTCTATTACCATAACCTGCTAAAATGTAATAATCAGATTTGAATTCAATAATTATTTTTGCGCTTTAAATAGACATAAACGTAATCATGATTTGTCCAATACATCACAAATGTTGAATTAACAACAAACTTACAGGATCAATGGGAGGCAAGAGGTCTTTTTTCTCTTGCTCATCTTCTTCTTCGTCTGTGCTATATTCTTCCATAGTTTCTCCACTTGCAAAGTGAATTACCCTTCTTGGAATTTTCTTCTTCTTCCCTATGATTCCCAGTTCCACATTCTCAAAGTCTCTATCGCCATTTGAGCGCTGCTGAAAACCAAGAAAAGAACCAGTCACAAACACAAGCTTCTGCAAGATGAACACTGAAACTGGAGAAACGGTTTTCCCCAGACTTCACCACATACCTGTCAGCTCACTGATACCCCTGGGACTTCAGCTAGAGATAAAAGGATTCTCTTAAAAAAAGGTGATGTGGCTGTAAGGCAACAATTTCCCAACTTTTTCAAGATGAATTCCCCACTTCAGGAAAATTATAGCAATCACATTCATTTCAAATTCACCATTTTTCTTAAAAAGCCTATACAAACTGAGCGATCACTCAGCTCAAACTGCTCAGACCTTAACAGCACAGGTCTTCTCTTGTTTTTACATACATTGTTCATTAATTTGCCTGCTCACCAGTGTTGACATTTAAAGTATTAGCTTCTGAATTAACATCCACTAAAGTAAATTAATCAATTCAGATGTCACAGCTGTTTCAAATTCAGGCAAACACATCTACAACAGATAAATTCTTTAACATTTTCTAGGTTTCCTTCTCTAACCCTGAAATCTAGCTTAAAAAAAAATACAGGTTGAAAAACTGAAGAATAATTAAGAGGCTGCCATGCTGCTTGGGTAAAATACCCTTGCCCCACTCCCCCCAGCCTAATCTTTCATGCCCAATTCACAGTGAATGACAAGGTCCACAGCCCACAGTTGGGAAAATGTGCAATGAAACAAATTCAGATAGCTATGAGAGTGTGCAATCTATATTATTTGCAAAGAAGAATGAATGTTAAAGACTTCCTCGTTCTTCCTAACAAACTCTCCTTCCTCAACAGGGTTTTTGAAGCCTCCTATAGTGTTCTATAGAGTTCTGCTAAACAAGCTACAGAACTAAAACACCAGCCAGTAGCAAAAAAAAAAGAGACTTAATAAAGCAGCTGGATGAGTTGAAATCAGGGAATGGCTTCGGAGGAACCGAAGGCAGTGGACATGCATGTTATGTGCAGGGATCTGGGTTTTCCATTTCCCATGGGAAAAAGGAAAACACTATAGATTTCCCTTTTTACCCACGAAAAATGCAGATTTTTCATTTTAATGGAGAAACCTGCTTCCCCACACTTCTTAAAGCCACCTTGGTGGGTTTTGTTGATTTTAGTGGGGGGTTTTTGCAACGAGGAGGAGCGGGTGCTTATAGGCTCAGCAGTGCTACGCTGGTTAGCACTACAGATGAAAAGAACTTTGGGGTCGTGGTTGACCACAAGATAAACACGAGCCTTCAATGTGATGCTGTGGCTAGTAAAGCGAGCAAAACACTGGCTTGCATCCACAGATGCTTCTCAAGCAGATCCCGGGACGTCATTCTCCTG